CCAAACGGAGTCGCAAGTAGACGCAAGTTGAGAACTTGCGTCTACTTGCGACTCCGTTTGGCCAGAGCTTAACAGGGATGTCCAACATAGTCAATATCAAAGAAGGACGCTATAAAACAAGGCTTCATGTCTGTCAACCTATTAGCTGGAGTATGGTTGCCATCTTGCGTGACTCCGTCACCGTCGCCGTCGCCGTCGTGCGTACGCGCCCACGAGAAATACCGCCAGCCATGATAACCATAAGAAAATCAATTCATAGGTTTCTTTTTCTTTCCAATATGAATATGGGGCGCCGCTTGGCGGCGCTTGTGGCCACCGGAGCTCCGCTATAATGGACACAGTCTTTAATTTAATTTGTAACAGAAGGTGACCGTGTGGACTGTCACAAACCCTGGCCTATTTTAACTCAAATATATTGTTTTTTGATAAATTTATCTCTGTGTCAAAGATGTACCATAAACCATGAGTGATATCGACTTTGCGGAGATTTTCAGCTGCTCAATTTTTAACGGTGTTTTTGTTTTGGAGTAGGAACGCGTTTGTGTGGATTGAAAAGGCTTTTCGTTAATTCAGCTGGTACAATGTAAAATGTCAGTGCGTACACAAATGCACGAGAAATGCAACGATTACTAGTTTGTAGCATAATAATCGACCATGTATAAAATGACCAGAAAATTTCTCTTAGTCCCATTTTTATTTGGTAACCAATTAAAAATATACGTTTCAAATTTCCCTTCAACTCACAGTATTACTCGTGTTTTACTTTCTATCTACTGCTATGGTGTCAGTCAAGTGCGCTGTGTTTCAGGATTTCTCCTTCTAGGCGTCTTGCTTGATAGCGACTTTGATGTACTTGATCCTAACCCTCTCTACTGCATCACTCTTGTGAACCTCGAGAATGAGTCCTTTTCTGAACATCAGTCGGTTGTTGTAGCCAGCGGTCCTCAAGAAGCCTCCGTCATGCGCTGTGTAGCAGCAGCCCCAGCGTTCATCCAGCTTGAGAGTGAAAACAAACTGACCGGGGTAGAAAGAGTCGCTGGGTTTAGG